TGCGACTCTCCTAACAACAAACAAATACGACCCTCTTCCCCCCTTTAACACCCTGAAACGAAAAAATCAACTCAGAAAAAAAATTTCTCAGCTCAAAACGACCTCACTCTCACAGCGACCAACTAAGAACCCCCCCCCCCCTGTTGAGGAATCCCCAACAAGGATGTGGCCTGGTGAAGTGGGGGGAGGTATACAGTACACTTGGGACAGAAAAGAAAACGAGAAAAATCAACAAGCGGTAAAATTTCTCTCAAAAGCAAATCCGACGGCTTCTGGCGATGGAGATGCGTGGCGTACGACGTGTCATGTCGAGACTTCATCGTTAGATTTATCCTTCTATAATAGAACGATCAGACGGTTTGAATGTTTTCTGGCTTCCTTGAATTCACTCGTCTAGTTCAGGATCAATATCCATTCAAATGCTTTTCAACTTCGAAGTTAAGTTCGTGGCGCATTCTAAAGGATTCATTCGACGCCGATCCACGATTCTTTATGTTATTTTCATAATTCGTTGAGCAAGGGCGTTTTCGCATTGTCTATTTCTCAGGTAGAGAAAACCGTTTGCGCATCCCAAAATATGGACGCTATTCATAGGGATGGGCTATTTTTAACGAGCATTATCTATGTTTCGAATGTTTCGCTTTTGCGTGCTCAGTAAGAGCGGCTATTGCTGACAAGGATAAATCGGAGGCATTTATCGGGGCATGTCGTTGTTGGTCTCAAGAGATTGCGCCAAGTTTTCCAACACGAATTTCACCGTAGAAATTGAGAGTGGCTTTGATATTATTTTGAGAATTTGTGTATCACATGGGATCAAAAAATCTTCAGTAGGATGCATAGTAAATTGTAGAAGCTGTGTGCGCAGTTCGGCGAACGAGGGAGGGGCGTTTTGAAGTTTCGTCGCTTCACTAGTTCCGGTTTACAAGTTCTCACTCTGATGAAATCTGTTACTCTTGGAACTTGAAGCAAGTTGCGTACGAGCCAGCCATGGTAAGACACCTGTCATACTCTTCTAAGCTCACGAAAGTGGTCGCCTGGATGGTCGGCGGTCGGATTGGGAAGTATGAAGTGCAAATGCCGCCTCCCCGCCTCGCTCGCCTACTGCCCGCGTGTTGTGTTTATTATGGGCGCTTTTGTCTCGAAAAGGCACGACATTTTCTCAGGCGGTTTGCAGCTGTGTTTGATAAATGCTTGGTAATGTACCCCACCGGAATCAGTGTGTAATATACAAGTTGGATTACTTGATTGTGATTACGCTTCAATGGTAACATTCATCGGGAAGAATAGCTGTAAACGGCGCCGTTGGGCTTGGTGGGGCATTTGACTGGTTCCATCGTTCCACCTGCTGATCGGCCTGTTGTGAGGCGTGTGAAAATTCCTGGTGAAGTATACCAGCCATGGAACTCCGTTCACACTCGAACCAGGGTCTACAGGTCTCTTCGTGGTGTAATTTACCAGGAATTAGCGGAAGTTCAAAATGCTCCTCCCTAGCCAAACAGCGCTTTCGGTTCTTATGAATGTTGCTTTTAATACAGTGACAGGTCGCCCGTCGTAAATGTTCCCTGCAGCGGGTTAATGGTGACGCGCCAAGAATCAGATTTGAGCAATCTGTCACATTTGTATCATCAAAACAACTCTTCGTTGTTACGTGAAGGAGAGGGGCGTGGTTTTTGGTGCTCAATGGGTTAGAAAAAAGGGCTGGGCTAGGTTGTTAAGGCTTGGGAGACAGAGCTTATCTCAAACCACTGAATGAGACAGTTAATTTAGTCAACTTCAGAACTTCACTGTTGGCCCTCGGCATAGTAAAGGGGGCGTGGGCACCTCTGTATGTAGAGGCGATGCGCTCTCTTTCAAAATGGCGCTGTCATTACGACCCTCCTCCCCGAAAGTTCCTCACCTACTTTCCTATCTTACCTACCGTTTCCTGAGTTCTTTCTCGAAAAAGCCCTCCCCTCAGAAAGCGGAGGAATTCAGCAAAATGGGAAAAACCGCGAAAAATCAACAACTGGAGGAGCAGTTATCGTGACAGTTCTGCTTGGTGGGGGCACCAAATGGTGCTCAGTGAGCTTGTGCAGTGCACCTTGTCAAGAGCTCTAGCAAACTCGCACTATTTCGCAGCTTCACATGAGTGCAGCTTCCATCAAAGTGAGACCTGTTATTCAGTGTGAACTAGCGAGAGGAACTAGCTGAAGTAATGTCCCCCCAGCCGAATAGTGGTCAGTGTTTTTCTCGCGGCTCAAAAAAATTTCACCAAGGCAAATAAGACCTTTCTCCCCAGCGACCAAGTCAACCTCCCTGATGAGTTTTTCTCAACGATGCTCTGCGCTAGAAAGTTATGGCTGTTTGACTTGGATTATTATTTAAAGATGCATTTCACGACAGTTTGGGCGGAGAATTTTATAGAGGCTCAGAACCATTAGGGCAATCCTTGTTCCATTGGTGCTTCCCTCCTCTTTGTCGTAGTATTATAGAGGGACAGTTGCAATGGTTGTGAGCCTCCGCTTATTCCATCATTGCAGAATATGTTTTTAATGGCAATTGAAATGACTCGTACGGCGCAGTTCGGCTTGGGAGGGGTGGTATTTTGCACTTTTGCTACTTCCCATCGACGTGTCGAGAAGTCGACCAGGGACCTGTGAAATCGCGAAGCCAAGAAGTGATACCAGTCGAAGTTCAAAATAGACTACTTGTTAACTCTTGTAAGGAATACCTGTCCACTCTTTTAAAGTAGCGAACACGGCAGCGGAAAGTAGCAAAAATGCATAATGCCCCCCCCTCGAGCCGACTTGCGCTTGAAGGCCTTTTCGCAGTACTTATCCTCGAGTCATTTCTTTCCCTTTCCCCATCCTCGGAATGTCGTCTTATATCCATCTGTCCCACACTGACATTTTCCGCCCTCTATAATTTGCAGTCCCACTGCAAAATCATATATTCAACACGCAGAGAAATGTTTGTCTATGTAAGTGAACTCGACGTGAATGGATCCACTTGCTGAATTTTTCATGGAAATGCGAAGTGAAACAATGATCCCATTGGGAATGCTCCAATGTTCGGCTTCACGTGTGCAAATTTGCTGAATAGCTTTATTTCTGCAACAATTCCCAGGAGGGTACGCATCGGCTAAGGTCGATAAACGCTCGGTGGATGGAAGGAATAGTTCACATACTAATCGTAGTTTGCCAGTAGATGGGCTATCCTTACTGGGACATTTCATTTTTTCGAATGTGTGAGAAATAAAGGGCCAACAACTTTTTCAAAGTAACTTTGTGGAATCTTTTTGCGAAATTACAAGTTATCGTCGAAGTTCGGGCAGTTTTTTTTTGAAGTGGAAAGTGTTCCTCTTACAATATTGTGCTGCCCCGGAACCTGATGAGTCCAGATACTCTAAGGGTAGCCTATTTCCCTAGTTATGGCTGTGCTAGGGAATTCTGGGCGAAAGAGTTGCCTCTCATACTGACTCG